CTATCTATGTATTCTTTGTTCTGTTGTTCTATCATTTTATCGTTCAGTTTATCATTCTGTATTTCTATCTATCTATCTATCTATCTATCTATCTATCTATAAGGTTGGGTTTTTGAGATCAAACACATGTGTTAGGCTGCAAGAGAGAATGAAAACATTTTCTGGGTAATGAAGCAGTAGTGTGTGTGTGTGTGTGTGTGTGTGAGTCTTTTAAACACTGGGATAAAGTGGCCTGCCTCTGTTCTGTCGTGTGCCAGCCGTGTTGAGGCCAGCGTCTGCCGTGACCCCAGTTTGTAGGGGTTTTGTCGAGTGTGTGTGTGTGTTGTGGGGGGGCGGGGTCTGGTAATCCTGCTTTTCAACCAGCCTGTTCCAGCCTGGGCACACACAGCCTCTGACCACTCATTATCCTAACAAGAAGGGCCATTTCACCTGCGACTGGAGGCCTTGTACACTCCTTGTTAGTATAATCCCCTCTCTCTCTCACTCGCTCACACACACACACACGCACACACACACAAACACACACACGCACGCACACACTCTGCCAGACCCGCTGCCATTCAGAACAAGCAGGTGGCCACTGACGCACATAATTGCTAACAATTTGAGGCAATGAATAAAAATGATCTACATTACTTCTTGCCGAATGTTGTGTGCACTTGGTGCCAAGTGAAATCTATGGAAGAGCCTCTTTAGATAGCGCAGAAAAAGGCCCTATCAAAAGCGCTGCAGAGGAAAGGAGGAGGAGCGGTAATTAATTTCTTAAAGAGTGAAAGAGAGATTTGACACATTCAGAAGACTGCCGTCTCTGGGGGTGTCAGAGAGCAACCAAGAACAACATCTTTCAAACTGTTTCCTCCAGATTGGGCCATATAGCTCATATACAATCTGCCTTTTCTGTTTTCCACTTAACTTTAGTTTGCTTCAACTGTACTGGTTTGACATAAATATGCATAATGTACACATAAGAAAGAAAAAAATGGCAAATTACACCTATTTATTATCTCAGCTGTTTTTCTTAGAGAACAATTCAATCAAAAGTATAGACAAAGCTTACTAAAGTGGCCTTTTTCTTAGATTTTTTTCTCCAAAGAAAAAGACCTTAGTATCTCACATATAACTTGTAGAATTTTAGCAATGTCTCAAAATCTGCTTTAATTTAATGACATAATATAATTTCATTATAAACTTCCCTCGATATAAAAAAATTATTTTCCCATCAATTTCTTCTGAGACCAAAATGATCTAAGCTTTAATGGCATCTATGGTTCCGTGAAGAACTTCAACATTCATGGAATCTTTCCATTCCACAAAAGAATGGATAAAAGTTCTACAGATTTGTAAAATCTGAAGAACCTTTAGATTGAAATGTTTTATAACACTAAGAAAATCAAGGTTCTTTTTAGAACTTTTCACTGAAAGGTTCTATGGGAAAACAAAAATGGTTCTTCCATGGAATCACTGTGAAAGCCGTTTATTAGAAGAGTATAATACCGATTGTATGTTTATATTCACTTTATGTCTTTAACTGTATGTCAAGAAGACTCATTTGTGTGTAATTATATTTTTAGAAGAAACATCAAAGATGAGCTCCATTATGTTTATAAACTATGAAAGTACAATTTCTGAGCAATAACATATTCCTCTTGGGAGGAAAAGAAATTCAGTCTCTTTAAAATCACATTGTTTCTTCAATATGATTAAAGGAAAGCAAACTCAAACCTCTTGAGTTTGGTGCTGAGAAAAAGGCCCTGTTAAATTCACGTGTCTCCTATATCAGAAAAGATCTCAAAATGTCTTAAACAGTGCTCAGATTTGCCAAAGTCTGTGATTTTATCATTTCAATATGGATGCCATTGTTTGTAGTCATTTATTATTGTATATCAGCAACTGGCTCGTTTTTATTTCTGCTAAGAAATTGCGAGGGGAAAAAAGTTACTTAAACGAAACACAAGTGAGAAGAAGTATGAAAAATCCTCTCTTTAGAGATTGTTTTACCCTTCATTCACAGCACATGATGTAATATTTATATTCATCAGTTCAATGCGTGTTTGAGATGATGGAGAAGTGTGATTTGAGGTTGGAGGATATTATCTCCAGTGAGCCGTGATCAGATGCAGTAATGACTGAATTGGGCGTGATAATACGGCATTCACCAGGCCTAATTTCAGTACCTCCAATTACAGAACAATACATAACCTCTGCATTCACATTCAAATTACTGGAGATCAGAGTGGGCCACGGCAGCCCGTCTGAGACCGAGACGAAGAAAGCAAACAAAAAACCCTGGATCTCCTTCACGTCTAGTCAAACGCCGATCCAACAGGGTTTGCATGTGATCTAGCGCATCAGTGCATGCATGTAAGCATGTTTGACCCCGGCAGACCCGTTAGTCTTTATTAACACCTACCTAACGGAGCGCTACCGCTTAGTGACGAGCCCAACCTGGCACAAACTCAACCTGTGACATCGGCAGTTAGCAGCCTCCATTTCACACATGATTAATCTGAGAGAGAGGGAGAAAGAGGGGGAGAGAGAGAGAGGGGAGGAAAGGGTGGCCCGTGTTCGGTCCGCATGGCTAAAAGGTCTTTTGAATTCCTGCGGAGAGAGCCCCGGGCAGAGTGAATGTAACCGGTTGGGGGTCACTGAGTCTTTGTGTAATTGAGGCAGTGGCAGCCTCTCTATCCTCTCCTCCTTTCAAATGGAGCGAGGGATTGTGAAGTGTGGGGAAGAGTGCTTGGAGGAGGGGTCTTTCTTTGAATGTTTTTATGAAGGGGAGGTTAAGTTGACAAGAACAGAGTGAATGTGTTCTGCTTATTTCTGCGGCACGGCGTCATAACACTCTCTGCATCTTTATTGAAGCAATAAACCATGAGAGGATGTGCGTTAAAGCGATTTTACTTCACGTGGGGTGCTTAGACACGGCGCAATGACTAAAACTCACTTAATCGTGGTACAATCACATGGTAAAAACATAACTTGATAATTGGTTTTATTAAATGGTGACAAGAGCAATATGGCAAAATACACAAACATGTGATTAATAAACAGTGTTTAGTATCCTCAATATGCTATTATATGTTTTATGAATATTTTGAATTCGTTTTTTATTTTTATTCAGTTCTCACTATTAATTCTCACTATTAACTAGTTGCTTATTAGGATGCATATTACTAGCATGTTGGCTGTTTAATAAAGCACATATCAATGTTTTATTCTGCATGATCATATTTTAGATCCTTTAATCCTACCCCATTCATATTAACTACTAACTATCATTAAGCAGAAAATTAGGAGTTTATTGAGGTAAAGCTTGTAGTTAATAATTAGTTAATAGTGAGAATTGGATAAATGTGTCCATTTAGTTTTAGGTATTTTAAGTTAAACTAATGTCTTGTCAACTAGCTGAAATAATATTTATGGTTTTTATGGTTTTGGTTTTAGTTAAGTATATAATAACCTTGTTAATTAAAAAGTAAAATTGTGTTCAATATATATAATTCAAGAAATTATTTATAGGTGAGATCAGGAGTGTTGAAATATTTTAATTCTTTATTT